AATTATTTAAATACTATATATACAGTATTTATTTAAATATATATGATTATTTGTAATTTTGTAACTTGATATTTTGGCATTTCTAATTCAATAAAAATTAGTATTAAAATACAAATATTTATTAGATATTTTTTTAAAATTTAAGAATTTTGATGTTTTTTATTTTACATATAAACATATTAAAATTCTTATTCTTATAAACAAATAATTTAAATAATTTATTAATTTATTTTATTTATTTATTATATTTTGTTTAAATTAATATTTTTAAAAAAATTTTCATTATAAATATTACTTTTAATAAATTTTGATAATATATTATTAAAACATCAAGTAGATTTAATATAAATTTATATGGTTGAATACATTAAAAAGTATAGAGTGGTGATTGATAAAAAATATATTCAATGACTTTGAAACAACTCATATATATATTTAATGAATAAATTTATCTAATAAGATCCAATTATTTCTTAAAACAAACTATTGATATAGTAAATCTAGACATAATTATACACTTTCTTATATACACACATTTATATTCTCTTAAAATCATCTATTATTACTATAATATATGGAAAAAAAAATTTTTTTTTATATTATTTTTACAAAAAACTAATATGATTCAATAGTATAATTGTATGATTGTATATCTGGTTTTTTTTTTAGATATACGGTGAGTATACACCGATGATATATTGTAATTTGGTTCATTTGAAAAAATTTTTTTTCTTGATGCACAAAGATAAATCGGACATAAATCATCACTGTATATTTAAAATTCTAAAAATGTATGCTACTATGTTGTAACATCGGGCATTATAAATAAGTATACACGGTATAGACAATATAAATATCCTCCTGTTCAATTCAATGCTTGTATAAAATACGGTATATTTTCACAATGTACAGTGTGTGGTTCTGAGAACATTCGATTTTCTTTGTTATCAGCTTGATTTATAGATAAGATACAGTTACAATTCTTCAAATGCATATCTCCAGGTTGTTGAAATTATATAAAAAATTGACACCTTTAAATGCACATCTTTTTTAATCCCGACGCCATGCAAGGGGTGTGACCACATATTTATATTATAAGATATTATTTGGACTAATTTAAGTTTTAAATAAAAAGAAATTATCAAGTACTTGAATTGATTTTATAGATAATTCAAAATTGCAATAGTGTTTGGAAGTGAGAATTCAATATTCGATATTTGCGCGCACATAAACGTGACTCTTGTGAAATACCCGAGTGAAGGCACCGTGAAAACATCAGATCTTACATTTTTGAAACGTAACATGTAAGCGCATTTCAATACATTCGGCAGCAGGTACGCAGTTCAACATCGAGATAGACTCCCAAGCAAAAATCTGTTGACAAGAGGAAACAGGTCCATTCTATATGCATCCCAGTTATTTTGAGATTCGATTTTGATTTTGATTTTTTTTTTTTTTCCTCGAACACCAATTACCAGTTTTGTTACAAACATTTGCCTCGCAGTATCGTTATTATAGCATGATTGGTTTCTCCGATCGTGAGGATGGGAGGGAAATGCCAAATCGACTGAGCGTTAGCCGAAAACCGGTTCACACTAACGAGATAAGAAGTCTTCTTTTCGCTCATCAAATGAGCACAAATTTTATTAGATCACCAAGAAAGAAGTTTTTATGTACAAGATCGTTGCCATTGTTCATTTTTTTTCTTTCGCTATGCATATGTAAAATGAAAACGAATTTATCTCGAATCGGCACCGCATGGTTTCTAAATAAATAATTAATCAACGTCCAATTATCTTCATTACCCGTCATTAAAGTCAATTTGATTGATGAAAGGTTATTATCAAGTTAATTAAATTATCTCGGGGAAAATGAATAATTCATCACACCAATTATTTGATTTCTCAAGGGGTTCCCTATTTTATATTATTTCGTTGGGAATTTTGCTTTTACGATGCACCAACATCCATTAGGCAATATTTCTTGCATTAGGTTGTTAACAAAATTCGCGTATTCATGTTCGAGAAAAAAAAAAAAAAAGTTATCGAGAAATTCGTGATTTTTTTTTTTTCTAAGGAACAGGTCGCACGAACCAACCGTAAAAATCATTTCCGGATACACATAATGAGTGAAATGATGATGACATAAAATAAAGTTTTAAAAAAATTATTCATCATACGTTTTCACTAAAGATCTATATGTAATCTGTTGAATGTGCATATTTCCGTATACATATCGATGTATGTGCATTAAAAAAAAAAAAAAAAAGTTAACAAACGTTTACCATTATTCATTAATATTTTAGATAATGAAACAATGTGCTGCACATATTATCTCTAGTCAGTTAATACACAGGAGGTTGAAACACAATTAATTACAATCATCATCAAATTACATAAGGATGTAAGCGTATTCTGGAAAAGAATTCAGAAAAAAAAAAAAAGACACCTTTTTGCTAACAGTAATTTCACCTTTTTCAGGCCGGTCACGGGAAAAGATCCAGTAACTTCCATTTTCTCACTTAACAGGTTTTGCTCAAAGGATGAGGGTAACTCATCGAACTTCGATATAACTCGTACTTTTGCATCGAACACTCTCATTCATTCACACACACATTATTTTCCTAAAACAATTTATCGTATGTATGCTTGTAAAGAAATTAAGCATGACCATATTTTTTCGATCGTCGGCTGCGTTTCAAGGTTTCACTTCAATGTATGCATCGTACTATAAAGTACATACAGAACATATGCGAATCCTTCTCGGAGACTATGCAAAATTTCCAAAGAGAAGTTTTAATGGGATTCTCACGATTTCAGGTGATGCACGCTTATTGTGAGAAAAGGCGAGGTAAGAATTTGGTATTTTATTGAACAATTCGAGCATCCAGTCTAAAACTTATGTACGCAATCCATTTGACTAAAGGTCAACGAACGATCCACCACATAAATAATTAATATACCTTTTACTTCATACGAGAATATACATACAGACGATCTTATCATTAATAATCATAATGATAATTCTTATTTGCTACTAATCTGGTTTCTCCGTCAGGTTGTTTTCGAATCGCGTCAATCTTGCCCCTTATGAAGCATCGGTTCACATTAGCCCTTCTGTGAACTTGAGAGAGGCAACTTCCTGTGTTTCAAATTTGGAAAATAACCTGGAAAACAATATCCGAGTCTCGCGAAATTGCAAACAATAGATAATTGTATTATGTCATAAGGTTTTATGGTGGGTAGATAGCTTTGATGATCAGATCGAATTTTGGAAGGGCGAACGAAAACATTAAAGAAATTTACGTAGTTGGCCACTTTTATGCGGGCGACTCAGAAAACCCAATTTTATTCGGATCCGAGAGTATTGAATGTTCATTTTCATATTTTAATCTCTGTTTGCTGGCTGTTAATGAACTTTCAACGCGTGTGTTCCATTAGTCAGGCACGCATTCATGCGTCGACAGTAAGTAAATAAATAAATGCATGCATGCAATCTCATAGTTCTCATATGTCTAAAGTCATTCAATTTGTCAGAAATTTCTCGTAGAGTAGTTTTCGTTCATGATTTACCCTACAGTAAAAAAATATTTTTTATATGATGTCCTACCACTAATTAACGTTCTCATCGGAGGAATAAATGGAAAAAAAATACTTGATCTGTGACACCTACCACAAAAAATAAAAAAATAAAAAAAAAAACTAACATTGTCTTGTGTAATAATCAATTTTCTTTGGAGTACGAATTGGATTTTAAATTTGAACGCGAACCCTAAGTTGAACCTTGATTTTTAAGGTTAGAACTTTGAAGGGTAAGGTGACACATCAAATGACATTGTGTTCCTCTGCTAGACGACCTGCTTTAGAGACTGGGAGATTTGAAAGGGTGACAGGGGAAAGCGTACTATGAGCAAAAGTTATGAATTATAGATGAATTGTGATGGGTCTGGGAGAATGGAATTAATCAAATGATTTGTGTGCAAATAGATGCAATCGAAATTTTTACGTCAAGTGTGCGCGATTCAGTTAATTTTGGCTGGTCTGAAAATTATTGACAAAAAAATTGCTGCCACTCGTCATCAATAAATTACTAATCATTATATGCAGTCAATAATTGATTTCCTATGCATTCCCAGTGGTGAGACCTTTTTTTCCCTAGGTAATAGACCCTATTCATTGACTCCGGATAATTTTTATTGCAAAATGCCTGTACCCGAACCTCTTCCGTTAAGCACCTGAAGCAACGACCAAGGACCAATGAAATTTTCGATGTATATAAAAAAAAAAAAAAAAAACCTTATTACTATAACATGATGAAACGTTAGAAAATATAAGGATCCGTGAAGTAGCCTGAAACCAAAGGACTGTTAAAGCACGGGCCATAAATCTCCGAATTTCGGAACATACGCCGGCAGACACATGTACAAGGGACCCTTGTATGCGTTTAGAAAGAAATCCGATTACGGAAAGAATTTTCGCCTTTTTTTATTAATATAATATATTTTTTTAAATACTTACATAAATTCTTTAGAATAAAAAATCAACATGTTCCACAATATGGATGCATCGCACGCGCGGTCTATAAAAAAAGCGATAATAAAATTTTTTTGTTAATTATCAATTTTTTAACATCTTTACTCTCGCGATATCTTGAATGCTTATAAATAGGGCAACTCCAGGCTAGACACTTTCACATCATCGCACTATTTTCTTGTCGGATTCTAGCACAAAACAAATATCAGTTTTTTTTTTTCAAAAGAAAAAAAGTTCATTTATCGCTTACCACATTTATCTATCTAACAAGCTAAGAAAAAAAAGAGGAATTGCTACAACGTTAGGTTCCTTTATTTTCACCCATTTACCCAATTTACCCCCCATTTATCCCAGTAACAACGGTTCACTCGTGAACCACGGAACCCTTCTGTGCACATAAATTCTTATTCTCATATCAACACTGTTATTATTTATAATTTGAAAGGAAAGAGAAGAGAGATAGCAAGCATGACAAATCCATCGTTATCCCCTTCTACACCAAACGCCACTTCCTTGCCATCCTCCGCAGCAAAACAAGAGTGGATTTTTATTGACGAATCAAATACCATCAATTCACCTCCTATTCAACCCTTAAATCCTCATCCTGCACCTGATCCCGAAATATTTAAAAAGATTGTTGTGCCATTTCCACCAAAGATAAATCCACCGGATCTAATTCGACGCAATAAGAAGAACGGTGAACTGCTCTCACGCGCTACCAACAAGTTCTTAATATACCGAAATGAATTCTCAAAGGAATTATCGAAACAATTGGAATCTTGTGGTTGCAGTAAGTTGTCAATGCGCGACGTTTCCCGCATGGCGGCCATGGCATGGAAAAATGAGCCAAGGAGGGTCAAGAGGAAGTATGAAGACATCGCCAGAGAAGTTGAAACGATTCATGTGAAATTATTAATATCAAGTCCCAGCTATCAGAGTTGGGGCGAAACATATTTAAACAATCAAAACGATGTCGCCAACAAGAAAGATAATGGTTGCACTGGGTCGACATCAACAAATGCTTCTGTGAAGTCATCTTCGGTGCCTGTCTCCGTTCCTTCGGTGGCTACACAGCACCATCACCACCGTAATAATCCTTCGACCAACGTCAGGTACGCACCATATAATCCCGCACTCGCTCCGCATGCCACGGTTCGTTCTCAGCAACATGCCATCACCTCGTCCGCTCAACAGTCTCCAACCACTGTGCCTTCGAATTATCATCACCCTCAACATGCTTACACCACAATGTTACAACAACAACAACATCAAACCCCAATCACCGATTACACTACCCCTCATCAATCTTCTCTTTACTTCTTAGAGGATTCGAATCCTACCTCGGCTTCCGTTCCCGCTCACGGTGCCAATCATCACAACCCCAACAATCCTCATTTTCTACAATACGAATATTTCCCACAGCTTGGTCAGGAGGTTCACCACAACACTCCAAGCACACTAATGAGCAATTCTCCCTTGATGCCAAATTTAAATTCTTCATCGTTACCAAGATTCAGTAACATAACGTTGGGATTGCCAATTTTATCAACCTCTGATACAGACGATTCGGGCATGTTCAGTAATGAATCATCGATCGGTAATTCTTTAAATAATTCTCCGGTAAATTTCTCTTGCGAGTTGCCGGAATGGCAACAATACTAAGATCTGTTTGGGCGTGAATTCATGCCATCATTCCAAAAAAAAATTTTTTTTTTTTTCTTTGAAAAACTTTGTCATATCTTGCACCCTTAAGGGAATATATTTTTCTTCTCGGGTAACATGTAAGTACCTAAACGCAACTGGGGTTTTTTTTTTTTGTTGATCAAAAGAGAAAATATATCTCCCTTCTTTCTCTGTAATATACACATGATTTCCCTTAGTTTATTAAAAAATACCCTTCATAAAATATAATTAATAATAATTTAATATAGTTTTTTTTTTTTTTTTCTTTTTACTCTGATTTTTTTTTTCGCACGATCAAACCTGTTTCATTCCCCCAACAACACACAACACACGCAAAACATTAAAAAGAGGACGCAGAATCTTTTTTAGCAGAATTTTCCTTTTTTTTTTTTTTTGATCGATGGAATTACTCGAGACATCGCCATTGTAGCTTTTATTTCTTGCTACTTTTCTTTTCATCATGATCAACCTGCTTCATTTCCCCATTAATTCACGACACACGCAAAACCACATTTTAAAAAAAAAAAAAGGACAGACTTTATTATTTTTTTGATCGATGGATTACTCGAGACATCGCACTTTCGCTGACAATAAATTGTGAAAGGTTTTTTGATTTCACGTACGACCATTGATTGAAGAAAAAGAGAATCGATGTGTCCCACCTCACCCATACCGAAACAGAATATATGCTAATACGATAAGGTTTTTTTTATTTCTTTCTTGTATATGCCAAATATGTATGGATCAAGCATACAGGTGATTTTTCTTATATATAATAAATTTATAGATGATTTTTCCAAAGTGTATAGAATTTTTTTATAATAATAAAGTGTAATAATAAAATAATAATAATAATAAACTTGCGATCATTAAAGACGCGTCTCACGATTGGTCTAAAAAATATCAATGACATCATGCAATAATTAATCGTTTTAAAAAAACTCCGATTCGGTGATTAAGTATCGGAATTTTGACCATATAAGGAAATTTTCGGATATTGGGACAAAAAAGACACCGTGAAAAAAAAAAAAAAAAATTTTTTTCCTTGTCCGCGGTCATTTCACGTCAAAATAGGCTGAAACACGGGACTCGAGGTAGAAACCACCTGTATTCGTGGTCCTTGTATATATACATCGCGATGATGTTCTCCGACGTTTGGTCACATGAGATCGCACGCGCTTACGTAATAAAATCATTTGTTTGTTTTACAAAAAAACACCAAGATATATGCAGAGCTAGAGATTATGTTAGCGTGTGCGACACTTCATGATTTTTGAGACACATGACTCGAATCTTGATTTCTTGCTCTTGACATCATCGTGATTTGGTTGGTTGGGCGATATTTCTCTTCATCATGTGTTAACAATTTATGTCGTTGGAGGTAATCACACATCCACAAAGCGTTAGTCAATAAGTGCATTTGTGCTAGCACGAATTCAATACAGGATTCGAAGCAAAATATTCGATCTGAAATTTTAGAAAGTCGATTATTTCACGTGGAATCACTTGGTTCCCTTCATCGAAGGAAGAAAAGACAATTCATCTTTGTTTATTGGGGAAAAAGGTCGATAACTCGAGTTCTTAAAGATAAGATTATTATAACTGGTTGACATGGATTTACTGTAGTTACCATTAAGAGTTCTTGTAAAGTGTGTGTCTATGTAGTTTGGTTATAAACCTAAGTTCTCCAAGCTTCTTTCGACAGAATTAATTGTGAAATCATATTCATAATCAAAATTCTTGTCTTCACTGATGGCATTTTTGTCTTTGTTTTTTTTTTAAAAAAAAAAAAAAAAGGATCAACACTAAGGGCAGTCAAGTGTAGAGTTAGTGCAATGTATGCACGAACCAGAATAATTAATAATATGATCATGAAACTGGCTGTTATAATGTTCAAACAATGCGGATTGTCTCGAGAGGCATATATTATGTGCCGAAATTTCTTCCTTGTCCAAACCTTACCTGCCAGGACATCATTATGTCAAAAGTCATGAAGGTCTAATGTCAGAATCACTTCTTCTTTCTCTTTCTTCAATCTTCTGATCCGTTCTCTATTTTTTTTTTTTTCGGTGACTTCATTGTCTTGATCTTTTTCGTCCAAAAAGGATTCCTTTTCTGGACATTGAATAGTTCATTTTCTTAATAATCACTTTTAAATCTAGCTAATTTTCTTGACATTAAATAACTCATTTTCCTGATGGATTAAGCCTCGTTATGCGTTTATTTAGAAAGAAAACTCTTTATGTTTGATTTTTATTACGGTTGAATTGTCTTTTGAATGTAGTCGGGTCTTGGTTTCAAAAATGTATAAATATATATAAAGAGAAGAGCCACGGAATATGTTTGGCGTAACATGGTCTCTCTCCTTGACCATTCCACAGCCTTCCTCATGACGACTTGCTCTTCCTTTTTCCTCCTTACCTATTTTCCTGCATCAAGGGAATAAATGAGTCATCACATGATAGATGATTCGTCGGTCGGACGGATGAGCTTGGTCATCATAGAGACCGTCGTCACCAATGCGTGAACCGTAAATAAAAGGGGAATTTTTTTATGCACAAACTATGTCGGGCCGATTAGGTCATCAGGACCCAAAATTTACCGAATGGCATTGAAACTTAACTCGACCTGCATATACACTGTACACTTACACGTAGATGATCATGGTGTATTTTGAATATACTGTAGAACAAGGGTCGGCGTTGTTGCACTAGTGTAAAAAACATTGATGAGGGTTACCCGTCCTCATAGATCAAGAACATTTGAACGAATCGACACAAAGGATACGGAATTTTGGGAAAATACTGTACATTTCACGAAATTAGTTATGCACGCCGTGTTACATGCGTTCAGAATAGCAACTTCATTCTGATCTTCTTTTAAAGCACATCATTACGTACCACGATATTGACATTGAATTTGTATGTTTCGACTATGTCCCAATATTGCTTAGTCAATTTCTGGTCACTCATCTGTCCTACCAGTCACCGGTCAATCACACGATGCCTCGAGTAAAAGAATGGGACATTAAAAAAAAAGTTCTTTCTTAGTAGCTTTTTTTTTTTTTAATTCTTTGGCACGAGGACTTAATTCTTTACGGCGTGACGTTAAGGGGAAAATCACATACCACCTTTTTCTGCATTCATTTGTGCATCCCTATTCAAGTGGCATGTTGTCTACCTCTTTACCCTTATGAAAATGGTTCACGTGATATACAGAAAAAAGGATTGTGTTGAAGATGAGACCGACGATAGTCTCGAGATTTTCACGATACTACAAAACATCGGTAGCATCACAAAGATGGTAAACAAAATCTTCAATATTTTCATTCCTTTTGTTTTCTTATTCGCACGTGAGAGGAACGCCGAAGCGGACACGATGAACACCAGATCCTAATCAAAAAGACGATGATAACGTTCGTATAAAATTTATCTGACTACCCTATAAAGAAATACTTTCTGATTTGAAACAAGATAGTGTGCACATGAGAGGCGCACACTGTTTTTATGGCGCACCCAATATGACCAGAATCATCGTAGTTTCAATGTGACGCCGATGAGTGTGAATGTTGTTGTGGTAACAAAGGAAACGGGTATGATAAGAAACATCATCGTACGTGGAAATATAAAGATATTTGTGACACAATATTTGCGAACCCAATGGTAGCATGGAAAATAGGCGCATTTTTTTAACCAGGGATCGCTTCACCCCCACTAAGCCCTTCTTTGATACTGATAATAACAATATCGGGTCAGGGTTGATTGTTGACAAGAAACTTGACCTATACTTGTTCAATAAGCTTTTAATAACTGAAGCTTACCATAAATCGGTCTTTGCCTCATTGACAATTAGGGAACACGCGAAGGCCGATATTCATTACTATATTCGCCCTGATACTCTTTTCCCTGATTACCATAATTATTCTAATGTCTATCTCTGATATAGAAAAATGGGTCTTTTGATTCTCATTCTACTTTTGCTCTAACATTTTTTTATTATTATTATTTGTCACACCGCTTATGACAGTTGAACACATGAAAAATACGTTTCCGTATGGCGGTCTCTTAAATAATCAATTATGTAAGAAGTCTTATTTTCGTAGTAATCATTGCATCGATTTCTTCACAAACAATTCGCTCCGTACAATTACGTCCGTGCAATTACGTACGCATTATATAATACACGAATATATTATGTGATCACAACTTGCTAATCAATTCCTCTCCAAAAAAATAAGGCAAAGCCCACTTGATGTTTACTATAACCGACTGTCATGTGTATAAAAAAAAAAGAAGAAGACCCTTCCCATTAGTCAATCATATATAGCTGTGCGCGGACTTGAATTTCCAACTGGCGATATCGTAATAATTCAATAATTCATAGATTCATAGATGCGTCATTCTATTCACAATTATTCGTCTTAATTGGCATCCTCTGTCCCTCTTTCATTGCGCGTTAGTTAGGTGCAAATATGTAAAATATGTATTAATTGAAAAATGCTCCTGATTTGTTCGTACCTTTGCTTGCGACTAGCGTTATATGTCAATTTTTCTTCTCTGAATAACAAACGTAAAGTACAATTGAAACGTATCCGACACACGTACAAATAGCCGATGGCGGATAAAAAGTACACTAGGTATATGACGTGTGGGAGTAAGAACATGAAAGCATACGTTTGAACTACGTGATCAAACGCGTACGTGACCTATATATTCACCCGATCTTCGGCAATTGGAGGCTGACCGCTCCCCAGTAATCATTAGCAAACGATGAAACGTGTTACACAATTGAAACTGCGTGTCAGTATCAAACGAATTTTTTATTTGGAAATTTCATTGGTCGATCCATTTTCGTGTACGAGGCTATGACGGGATAACGCGTGCTCGGACGAGCAAAAGATGTCTCTGGAATCATTGGTTCGTTAATTTACAAGTGAACTCGGTGAAATTTCAGAGTTACGATATACATACATGTACATGACATGTCCGTATGTTCAAAACATGATTACTCGATCATCATGCATCAACTACCAAAACGGTCAATCGGGGACTGAGTTATAATAATATAATAGCAATAGAGTCATAGATCTTGAATATCTTAAATCACATAATCGCATACACATCTTCATTGAATACATACAAATACAATAATATACTGTATATATATTTATCTTATACTGTATATTTTAATATAATTATTTATACAAGGTTTTTATGAACAAAAAAAAAAATCTTAAAGGTCTATAATTATATTTAAATACTATTATATATTTTTATTATCATTTTAAAATAAAATAAAATATATTTTTAATATTAATAAAATTATTATTTCTTATTATATTTTTTATTAACTTGAAATACAGTATAAAGGTTTATATATCTAAGTTTTTATTAAATATTTAATTAAAAAAATATTATGGATTTTTTTTTTTTTTTGATTTTTTTGTTCTTATATAAAAAAAATTATAAAATAATTATTGATTTATTATTTTTATAAATATTTAAAATAATAATTATAATTTACTTAAAATATCAAATAAAGTGTTTAATAATATATAAATATTTTAATATAATAATAATTTTAAATATTAAGTAAAAATTTTTTTTGTAAATTTTTTTTTTTATTAATTTAAAAAACAAAAAATTTTAAAAAGTTTTAATATTTTTTATAATAAAATATATTTGTTTGTTTGTTTTTACAATATTATTATTTAAAAGATTTAATTTTTTCCACTTATTTTTTTATTAAAAATTCAAGACTTCAAAAAAAATAATATATATAAGTTAAATATTAATATAATCTAAACTATACATGTTTATTTATTATTATATAAGAAAATTTAATTAACAATACAATTCAAATTAAATACAATTTTTAATTATTTATTATATGTTACTTAATAATTCTATCATAATACAATTTTAAAAAATATTTAAATTCTATTCTATTACATATACTATATAATCTAAACTATATTAAAAAAATCTTTAAAATTAATATTTTAATAAAATAATTATATAATAAACTATATAATTTATAAAAATAAAAAAATAAAAATAGAATTAATATATACAGTATAAATAATTAATAAATAATTTTTTCTATTATAATTTTAACTTATGCAACTATAAATTAATAAAAATTTAATATTATTATATGTTTTCTAATAAATGTTTCAAAATTATAATTTTTAATTAATATAAATTATTTAATTTAGAGATTTTAAAAATCAATTAAAATATAATTTCTATATCTTTTAATAAATATTTTAAAATATTTAATTGGTTTAAATTATTTAATCTAAGAATAAAATTGTTAAACAAAAAGTTATAAATATATTATATATTTACTATATATTTATATTATTAATTTCTTTAAAATTATTATTTGATATTAATATATAATAAATTATTATTATTATTATTATTATTATTTCAACTTGCTAGGCCTTACTTAATATATTTTTTTAATTTATATTTATATTTCTTTTACAAAAATTATTATTTATAAACTATTTTAAATACATATTAGACTTTATCAAACTTTTTAACATTAGTTTATTAATATATTTTTTTTTACATCTAATCAGGCCATATACTACTTATATTTATTTATTTCAAATTGTTAAAATAAGAAACTCTAATATGAATATTATATAAATACATATACTATTAATAAAAACTTATTATTATTATATAATATATTTACTAACAGCCAATAACCTTTAGATATAATTAATGAAATAAAAAAGTTGCTCAATTAAAAAAAAACATTTCTTATTTATTTAAAATTTCATGGTTAGTCCTTCATTAAAACTATTACTTCAATTTAATCTCTGTAATCCTAAAATATAAAAATTTTTATTTTTTTATAAGATAAAAAAAAAAATAAAGAAGAAAAGAAAAGTTTATACTAATAAAATAAAAATCTATCTAAATCAATCATCAGTCTAATAAGAATTTTCTTTAATCTTAAGAGAAAAAATTTGACATATGAGAGAAAAGAAAAGACTTTAAGCTAAAATGAATTCCTAAATTATTTAGTATATAAAATTTCGCAGACCAATTATGTTTCTTTTAAAAGGACATAATTATTTATTTATTATTTTAATAGAAACATAATTCAAAAAACATTTGGATCAAGTAATCTAAATTGCAAAAAACCTTTGTAAGTAATTTTTTTTTGATAATATATCTAAAAAAACTTTTTTAATAATGAAAAATATTTAAATTATATCCTCTTCTTTAATTTAGAGACCTATCTTTACTTCAAGTTACTTCTTATCAATAGGATATCTTGACACTTTACTTTTTTGTTATATTTAATTATATTATCGATTGTAATATAGTATAATATGAAATATGTAAAGATATATATCTTGTTTATATTTCTTTTATATGTTAATTAAAAAATCAAAAAAATTTTGATATACTTGAAAGCTATAGTCCTGAAAATTGGAATTATATAGACTTGCATGGACTCGCATATATATAAAAAACATAAGTGGATTATAATTACCTATTAAATTTACTATAAGAGCTGGAATTGAATAGAATCAAATATAGAATCATTAGGATCCTTATTGAAAGTATTATCACAAATATGTATAATTGATAAAAAAAGATTATATATTTGAGTGGAAAAACTTTCTACTAGCTTATCTACTCATCTTTAATATCAAGTATTTATTTACAATAAATTCAAAGTTCTTATGAAGCTTGAAAAATATATTTATTAGTAGTTTACTTTCTAGAGTTTCAAATTTAAAAAGAATATAATGGAGAATATTTTTTAATAAATTTCTTTTTCCCAGTAAAATGTTCTTACTGTAAATCAAATAGATAAAGTTTTGTTTATTTTATTATTAAAATATACAAAGTTTTTGAAAAAGAAAAAATAGATAAATAAGAAAGGCATTAGTCTTTAGGAAGTAAAATATTAAGGAAAGTATATAAACTTTATTATCAAAAATAAAGAATATTTTTAAAAACATTTATTTTTTTGAATTGGCAAAGAAATTAGTGAAAAAAGTTTGTATATATTCTTGTATTAGTTTATTAATATTAACTTATCTTAAAAATATATTAAAGCTAACATATTAAGATTTTGTTAATATTGTTATTATATAAATAATAATAATATTATTATTAATATTTTTTTCTAATTAAGTCAATTCTTTATAAGTTTTTATTATATATTTAAGATTTTCCCTTGTTATTAATCATATTTTACTAATTTAATTATATAATAAATTGATTATTATATAAGCATTCTTTGTTTAATATACTTTTCTATATATTAACAAATATTTATATATTGTATATATTTATAATAAATTTATTTATACTGTATATAAGTAACTGTATATCTATTCTATTTAATATTATATATAATCACTACTTTATTTTAAAAAATATATATTAAAAAATATAATTTTTATTAGTAACTCTCTCTTAATACATCTTTATTAAATTTAAAAAACTATATAAATCTATCTTAATTCTTCAGAATAATTTTATTTATATTAAAAGTAGTTTAATTATTAGATTATTATTATAGTATTTTGAACTCTAGTTTTCAATTCTTTAGAATAATTCATAGATTTCTTTTTTTATTAAAACATTCTAATAATAAAGTTTGTAAAAGAATATATAATTATACAGTATATTTGATTAAACAGAAACTTATTAATAGTTCTAATTTACTCTTATCAAAATTATATAAATTTTTTTTTAATTACTAACAATATACTATTAATTTAATATTTACTCTTTTTATTATTATTCTTGATAACAAAGTTGTATCAAAGATAATTCCATTTAATTTTAAATATTAATTTAATCATAATTTTTTATATAACTAGTATTTATATTAGAAAATATTAATTAATTTATAATTATATTAATAAATACAAAATTACTTACTTTATTTTATTAAAAA